CAGCGAAGTCCTCTTTAATACTCAGTGTTAGTACAACATTTTACCATTTTGCTTCACTTACCAAGTTGCAGAGGCCTCGTCTTGGGTCTGGACACGTGGTAGCCCAGTCTGGCCGCACCCCGGCCGTGGGCCCCTGGGACTGCTCTGGGCCGCCCAGCCCCTAGGGCTCCAGAGGGACCCGGGAGCCGTCCCGAAGAGGTCGGAGAGAATCCCCCTGAGTGCGGGATAGGGGCTATTCCGGGCAAGTCCCGCACCGTGCGGAGGTCGGACTTTCTCGCAGGTATAAATGACGGTGCACGTCAACGGTACAAGGTACGCAGACTATTGGCAATTTACCTCCGACTGCTTTACTTCCCGTGAACCCTACTCACCGGGTAGCTAACTTGACCGTCGGAGTGCCCCCGGGGACCACCTCAGGGCCCCCTAGTAGGTTCACTTCTCTCTGTTTTGCAGGCTTGGGACGAGCTCTTCCATCAGCACACCGGGCTCATCAGGTCAGCTTTATCAGGGGAAGTTCCGTGCTTCTTCAAGTGGTACCAGGACTTCAACCCCAAGACCCTTATACACAAGGACCAGGGTTCGAATCCTGGGGAGGCCCTCCTCCACGCACCTGATGCTGGGGTGGACAAAACACACAATTGGCCTCCACGGGAGAAGCTCCGCGCTTCTTCACAAGTGAAAATCAAATGTACAGCAAAAGAAAACAAAAATCGACCATTCAATATTCATTCGTGCCACGCTCCATAGCTGCCAGGTATAGTTCAAGAAACAAATTTCTTAAAACAAAGTACATCTTGCCTTGGCCATGATCATGACCTCTCGCTCCTGCAGTATATCGGGCCTTATTATGGAAAAATTAATCCACATACATATTCTTTTTTTTTTTGTCGAAACGATAGGATTTTTATAACCTAAAACTAACCTATTCTAGGGGGAGGGGAGAGGGGACTCGATATGAGTAGAAACTCCATGGAAGAAGACCAAAGAAAACCGTCACATATTGTGACAAATTTTTTGGGGAGGCAGGGTTCGAACCCATAACCTCTTTGCATCACCAAACCTTAGAAAGTTTGGGATGACCACTGGACCAAAGGCCCAATGGCAATCCGCATACATATTCACGTGGTTCAATTCACATTGCCTAAATTTTGATGAAGTTTAGTAGGAATTTCACATTCACATTCACATTATAAACGACGTCAACCATTTATAGTGATTACCCGTGTTGATGCTCTCACTCCTCTTCCAACTTCCAAGCGTGATTAAATAAAGTTCACCATATAGTACTATGATCGAAGCCTCTTCAAAATGGTATTCTGCCTCACATCAAGTCAATAGGAGCCAAAGGACAACTGACAATGCTGACTTCACCTTGAAAATGAAGCACAAAATAAGAAAGTAGTAAAAGATCGCCGGTAAGCTGATAAAGAGGTGTGCTGAGAATTGCATCACATGATAGGCAGGTTACGAATGCGAGTGTTTAGTTATATATTAAAATGATAATATTTCAATAAAAAAAATCTGGTCTCCAAAATTTATAATTTTAAGCACATTTAGAACAATTGATGGAACTTAACATTGACTAACAGTCAAAATCGTTTTAGCAATAAAATCCTATTTCAATTTTTCCTATACTACAACCTCTGAATTTTTGTTATGTATATCAAATATGTATTATTGTCTAATTTAAATTTGTTTAACGAAGATATATTTTTTAGGTTAAATAATAATGTTGTGCCTGTATTATTCTATATAGAGTACATAGTGGTTAATGACACTATGTTATCTAATTCGAATTATTTATCTACATAACCAAAAAAAGTAAAACAATCAACATATATTTCATTAAAAAAAAAACTAAAGTAGGTCAACTACATATAACCAAGAGACATTTCAAATATTTTGAACTCGTGCTAAATTGCTCCCGTAGTGGGGGCACAATTTATTTACTTTTCTGTCTATTAAACCCAAAGTTTCAATGGAAAGTTTTAAAATAGTTACTTTCATATTTGTTTACCTTAATATTTTACCACACACCCCCCGGTTACCTTAAGAATTTTATTGAATGATTCAAACAATTATACAAAATATTAATTTCATCTTAAATTCAACTGATAATCTATTAAAATTGAAAAAAGAAAACAAATCTTATTTACTTATAGTTCATATTCTTTATAGTTTGAATGGATATCTAACTGAGTGTTTAAATATCAATACAAGTAACCAAAAAAAAAAAGAATTCATTATCAATTAATTCTCCATAATGCAAAACCATACATGCATGCATATATAATGCTACATTTGGGACCAGTTATGCAAGAGTAAAAGCCTATGAGAAACAAGTGGGAAGAATATACAAAATAAAAAGAATAAAAGAAAGAAGTTTCCTGAACTTTTGCACATTTTCAACCTAATTTGCATTTCCTTTCCTTTGAAACCGTTAATATCACTATTTAAAATCTAAGATACCATAATGATCCAAATTCAAAACATTGCTATAAAAAATGCAAAGTCAAAACTATTCAGTTGTGGCAACTTGACTTTGATCTTTAATCATCTTTTTTTCGCCAATTTACTAAATATGCTTAAGATTTGAAACACTGGGGACCAAATTTGTTTTGATCCAAGCATTAATGGTCAGTCCTACACACATGCAGAGTATTATAAACAGGAATTGCATCTCTTCCAAATTTTGGATATATGCTATGTATTGATTTAAATTACAACTTTTAAACTTATTTTCTTCATAATAGTTGGTTAGTGATGATTTAGTTTTAATATTATTGTGATATCATTTTCTAATAAAGTGGAGGTGATTTGTCACTTAATCATAAATTTTTATCTCTTGTTGCCTAAAAATATGTTCAAGTTCAGGAGTACCAACTGTAAAAGTTTTTATGTTATTTGAAAGAAAATTATTCATTCATTAGTAAATTTGGGCATGTCATCTTGTATTGTATTATCCATGAAAATATATAGAACACTTTTAATGTGAAGATTAATGTGAAGATTATTTGTTATCCTACTTTTAGAATAGACAATGAGCAGTTATATTTTTTTATTTACACCTATTAAAAATATTTCTTAACTGTATCACTACATAGTTTAATCAATACGAATATTTGATTTCAAGCATGTATACATTAATACAAATACCATTAGTATTACTAGCGATAAAGGGCGCACTTAATTTATGTACAATTTAAACAATTACTTTTTATATGGAAGAAATTGGTATAAAATTTTAATAAACAAAAACTTTGATTTTTTAAAAGTTTTTTTAATATTATTCTAAATAAATTGGTAATTATAATGTTTGTGTTATTGGTGAAAGTTAGTTGTGGTATTGGTTGACAATACATAGGCAACATGTTAATCAGATGATAAAAGTATAATTAAGTGATGGATTAATCTTTTCTACACTGACAGTGAATACATAATCAGTATTGGATGAATTACAAATATACAAAATTTGAATTTAAAATTAAACTTTTGTATATATGTCATAAATTCAATGGTGATAGTGTATACACTGTCAGTGTATATAAGATTTACTCGCAAGTGATTGCGATAATAATGCTGAAAATTTAAAAGTGACAAATATGATCTAATTAAATTTCACCTGTACTTACTGCGATTATTATGTCATCAATTCATTCTCATTAATTTGGTCTAATACCATTACAAATGCATTTTTAAAACATTTCTTTATGTTCTACCCGCAAATATAAAAAACAATCATGCAACAACATATTATTTCTGCTACAAATATTCCATCTCAACTAATTAATTAACCATTCGTTTACTCCTTTACAGTTATTAATTCCTATGATTGGTTTAATTAATTGTACATATTAATTTAGGAACATTTTCCTCCTACCCATGATTGGTTTAATTCTGCTCGTTAATTGCTTCAACCACTGACAGGTCGCTTTTGAACTTCCCCAACTCTGCCCACCACAACAAAAGCTCTGCACTTTCAGTTCTCTCAATCATCTTGATGTCCATTCAATCTGGGTCCCATAACCCCATCCATCACAACAGCACCTCCTTCCTCTCAATCTGTATTAAGCCTTATGTCTTCCGGTAAAATTTACCACTCATGTGCCTGATCTAAACCGTTTGACGTCAGTAATTGTAGAATTTTCGGTATATATATATATATATATATATATATATATAGATATACTTCTCTCTGCATTTACCGAAGTGTAGAAAAAAGGCTGGCACAGTAGCAGGTTTTGTGTCTGTCATTTGTAAGCCGTACGGGTTTCTATTCTCCGTACCACTCACATATAGCACGGCATGTGTCTGGTAAATGATGCCATTCCATAAACAGATGTCACATCCAAGAATTTGCAATAAGCATGACGTACGGAGAATTTTTGTAAAAAAAAAATATATATATATATTATAATGATTTGATAAAAAAATAATTAAAAAATATGTTCATTTAAAATATAAAATATTTTTTTAAAAAAAATGCAATCCAAACAGAGCCAATTTACAAACGCTCGGAGGTGCAATATTAGCCTAGACTTACAAGATATTTGTTTATAGATTTCAGGAATAACAAAATATTTATTGCAGTAAACATGCAACTAAAGATTCATTTTTTCAACTCATCCAATGGTATAAAATTATGCATAAGAGTACAATATTTATATTTTAGTTAACATATACAATTGGCAAATAATCTGTACACAATCAAACTGTCAAATGAATATTTTGTGGACTTGTAATTCACATAAAATGGACATGTAAAAAAAAGTTAAATATTAATAAATATCATTTTCTTACCCAAAAAAAAAAGCAAATTACATTTAGTATAAAAAAGGGAAAAAATAACATCATGTAATATATTTTAGTTTAAAGTTCATCATTGTGGAAATAGAAAGGACAACTGTAAAAATTTCAACAATTCTGATGGACAATTGCGAGGCTAGAAGATAGAGTACCAAAATTCAGTGGAGGCTATATTAGCACGCTTATTCTTTTTTTTTCCGGAACGGAATAAACCCACGCACACCCAAACAATGAGTGACGCCCAGCAATCTAAGCCAGCTTATTCGATCATGCACTTGAAGGTTACAACTGAAGAGTTCCAGGTCTACTACATACTAGTACCAAGCTACATCAGTCGTCATACATACATGCATGCATATACACATACATATATGTATGTATGTATGTATGTATATTAGCACGAGGACGATGATGATGGTGAATTGACGATGATTACATAGTTATATACGTACTAGTTAACAGAACATGTCGTATTCTGGTTTGTCAACTCCATCTACGCTCCTCAGCCAATAAGTAGCGTCACCAAAAGAAGCTGCGCCGTTTGGAACGTCCTCCATTACCCTTTCGTGGCCTTGAGGATAGTATATCCCGCTACGAGGATGCGGCACCCACCAAGACGGCTTCTCCGGCTTCTTCATCATCTCTCTAGCTCCAAGTCCAACACATTCTCTGTGTTTGTTGCTTCGTCGGTTCTGCCATTCTGGCTGTCTCTCGTACGTTGCCCAGCTGCTGGTCGCCGACCCTGCTGCTTGCTGCATGTAACTGAGATAATATGCCAGGAAGCATGTGAAAATCAAAATCAACGCACACTAGCAACTACTGATATAAATGGGAGGAAACCAATTTTTTTCTTCTCTTTTAGAGAAAGAAAAGAACATTGGAGAGCTGTATATAGGTTTCTTTCGAGTCGTTTCTAGTTTGTAACGAGTTAAACGAGTTAAATACATACATATATATATATTTATTTATGGATATGAAGTATTATTCAGATTCTGGGGAAAACATAGAGAGCCCAAATAACCAAGAACAAAAATCGTAACAGTAGGAGAATTTTCAGTACTATGATTTTCCGACTGCTTCAAAGACATATCCTACTACTGTATATAAGCTCTGACCTAAGTTGTAATTTCTTGTTCATCCCAACCACTCTAGCCATGGCTCTTTAGATAAATATATAGATAGCTGATGACTGACACGGGAAGAGAGTGAGTGATCGATCAACAATAATAATGCAGCACCTGACTTTTGACGATGAATGCCTGGTTAATTCACAAGAACACCATATATACCCAACCAACCCAAGTGGAGGCTAGCGAATAAACAAGCCATTTTCTCAGTGCTATGATCGAAGTGGAATCAATTCCCTAGAAAGTAGTAACTTACCTCTGGTGAAGGTTTAGGAAACTCTCACATCAATAAAGCAAAAGTAACAAAAACTCAGACAATATCATTATTCTTACAATCTGGCCTGACCAATCTGTGGTTCTTAACGTCCGCTAAGTTAAAGTAGAAATCATACGTACAAAATATTGTAAAATTTTCTGTTATGGGATACCGGCCAAAAATACAAAAATTTTGGATGTGGTGCCGACTCGGGGATAAAAATGCTCCAAGTATCTACACCAGCACTACTTGGTAGGCACAAATTAATCTCATCCGAAAATGAATGCGTCAAGAATAATAATGGGTCTCTTCTAAGTAGTGCTTTTTACGTGTTTGTATAAAATTTTATTATAAACTATTGTAGAATCAGAAAAATTTTTTTTGTATATTTGAGAGTTGAGAAAAGCAATTTTTTCTTTTTTCTTTCTTCTTCCTCCATCCCTCTAAATTATTGTAGAGGGAAGAGAGAGGGAAGAAAGTAAGAAAGGAAAAATAAAAAATCGCTAGCGTTGGTGTCGACGCCCGTGGAGGTAGCAACTTAGAGCAGCAGATGGTGGAAATGGTGGTAGACGGAGGTGTGGAGAGGAAGCAAAGGAAATAAAGGAAACTTATTTTTTTGTATGTTTTTGAGTATTTGATATGTATATTTAAAAAATTTTGACGAGTTTTTTAAAGTTAGTATAGTTAAAATTATTAAAAAAAAAGTGTAAAAAGAAAACTCAAATAAAAAACCTCCACCTTCCAAACAGATGCTATGCATCAGATATCAGATCTGACTAGAACTCACGCGGCTACGACAAGTCCTCTTTATTCGCTGCAATTTATTGTCAGTCATAAGAGAAGTTCTTCAGGGTAGATTTTGTCTGGTGATTGACCAGCAACAATTTGGTTGGTAAATTGTACATCGATCTAACTTATTGCAGTACTACATATTTAGTCCTAATTAAGGATGACAACGGAGTAGGGTTAGTCCTAATTAAGGATGGCAGCGGGTTCCCCCACCGCGTCCCGCTTCCCCTGCGAGACCAGTAAAAATTTGTTATATAATTTTATTATAGTTAAATTTTAGTAAATAATTAAATACTGAAATATTAACACATCATCAAATTATTATTTATTGTAATTTTACAATTGAATTTTATAAAAACAATCAAACAAAAGTTATTTGAATACAATCCAACATGATGAAATAAATACAACTAAATTAGTCAAGTTTTCACTTTTGATACAAATACAATCACTAATTCATTATTGTGCTTGTGTTTTTTTTTTTAGAAAAAAATGTTATTGTATTAAGTATAATTAGGGGTTTAGTATAAATGTATTAATAAATTTAGTATAACTAATTAATAATTTGTATTAGTACACATATATAATTATTAGTATAAATGATAATATCAATTATATTACATATATTAATATATGAGTGTGTTTGGATTATAAATTATGTGAGATAATTTTGTGAAAAAATACTGTAACATTTTTTTGATATGATATATGTGAGATAAAAAGATAATTGAAAAATGTGTTGATGATACAAGCAAATCAATGTGTGTAAATAAGGTGTAAATAAAATGAAATAATGAACAATCCAAACACTGACATAAATTTGTAACTAATTAAATTATATATTATATATATAATTATATACATATATATTTTTTATATATTTATTTTTCTTTTAAACAGGTGGCCCACTACCCCGCCCCGTATATAAGGGGGGGGGGGGGGGGTGGGGGAAATCCTCCCGGCCCGTCCCATTAGCCCCCCGCCATCCTCAGTCCTACTGGTAATATGGGATGGTAAGCTCTTCACCGGGCTAAATATTGTGGACAATCGATTATTATGCCCATTGATTACACAAGTAGGTGGCGGCAGTATGTTGTGTGGCGCGCGCCTATAGGTTCGCACAGCATAAGTGATGACTGATTGGCCACAAGCACATTGACGCAACCGAGTGAACGATTGCGGTTCGACTTACATGTTATTTTCCCGTTCAAATTTTTATTTTTTACTCTAGACCTTTAGACGATGCTATGTTTGGAACCTCAGTTTTTTTACAAATTTTTATGATACTAGTTTTTTAACAATATAAATCTATTCTTAGGTCTTTGAATTTTATTTTTAGAAACTTTTAATCTAAAGTATAAAAATCATCTATTTTTGTCTTTAAATTTTAGATACTTTAGACATTAAAATATGAAATCTACCTCGTGGAACTTGTCAACACTAATGCAATAGTCGGCAAGCGATGTTCGAAATTTAAGAAGGAAAAAATGATCCTTTTAAAAATTTTAAATTATTTCAATTAATTTAATTTAATTCTCCTCCATTTCTGTTCACTTTTGGGTAAAAAGCATGATTCAACGAAACAACCATACTCTTTCCCTCCCTTTCCCTTCCTATCCTTTTCTACCCTTCCTCAAAAATCAATTTAATCAACAAAAATGAAATCATTCCAATTCCCTCTCAGTTTCCTTTTCCTCCCATTTTCTCTATCCAAACGGTGCCTTAATAATAGATTTACTTGCACCTTGGTCTTTAAACTTTATTTTTTTAGATAATTTACCCTCTAAAGTATGAACTTCGTCTTACTTTGGTTCTTAAACTCCACTTTTGGATACTTTTAGTCTTACGCACTGTTTGGTTTGAAGGAAATGAAGGGAAATGAAAGGAAAGAAAGAAATATCAATGGAAAATAAAAGGAAAGAAGAACAGGGTTAAAACATATCTTTTGAATTAAAATTTAACATATCTTTTTGTCATAAAACTAGGGTTAAAACACACTAAAACAAAAGAAATCTTATTCTAAGCTATATATTATATGAGAGACACAAATTAAATGTTGATCTAAATCATTAATTTAGGAGTTCCCATGCTTGCATCTATTGTTCATATTTTGAGTCGATTTTTTCGTAGATGAAGTTAAAAAAAAAAAGAGCCTGCATAGTATTTTTCTGGTTTTCAAAACTAGAAATGCTTGCATAGTATTTTTTTGGTAAATAATAGGCATAAAAGGCTATGGGTTACAAGCCCACGAACAAAATCCAACCCAAATCTACCTTTCCAATATGGACTTGTGTACTAGTCAGGGTACATTGCACAGTCCAATTACTCTTTACTTTCTTAGCAGTTGGAACCGTGCTGTTCGAAATGCGTGTCGTATTTGCAAGCACCGTCCCGTATATTGTTGAAAGTAGGACGGTAATCAAATTCAACTACTCACGAATAATTTGATTAAAAACATGATTCGAACTCGAACTCGAATTGATCAGATTCGAATCGAGTTCAAGTAGTTCGATAAGGCTAATAAGTCGAGTTCGAGTATCCAGAAGTAATACTCAAAGGCTAGTAGAGTTTTATTGAGTTTTTTAATTTTAATTATTTAATATATTATTATTATAAAACTATCTCATGTCCAAAAGAGTGATTGAATTTTAAAAATTATTAAAAAAATAAAATTTTCTGACTCGAACTTAATAAGATTCACGTTGACTCAAACTCACGAGAGTCGAATTCGAATTCTGTAAATAATGCATTGAGCTCAAACTCGAGTTTCAATAACACTACTCACTCGAATTCGAGCACCCAATCTACATGTTGAATCCAACTCGAACACGGCGAAACTCAAACTCGACTCGAATTGATTACATATCCAGTTAAAAGGGAATTTTCTCTGCTTTTGTCCAGACATTTCAACATCAAAAGAGAAGGAAAAACTCCCGCCATTACCGCATTCTGTCATTGCCTACCCCGGCAATCCCAAGTTCTAAGATTTCGCCAGACAAAAAGAAAGAGATTTCGGAGTTGAATTAATTGGATCCTTCCAAACCAAGAGTCTTCGTTTCCCGTCTCTCACTTCACTCACTCCCAATACGCGAACATAGTCTGTGTGTGTGAGCAAAAAGACTCTCGTCAAGAGTCAATTCCTCTCAAGAGTCAATATTGAGGCCGAGGATAAATTTTAGCATGTGAACCATCATGAGTTCCAAAGGAAAAAGATTTCCGCGGTTCAAGGTTGCTTTGGCTTTCCCGGCTGTCGTTTTCTTATGCTTGTTTTTCTTCCTAGCTGGCCTGTTTGGATCCATTATCATTTCTCAGGTTTTTCTCTACATACTATTTGAATCGGTGCATATAAATTGAATATACTGGTTATGGGTTTTTTTTAACAAGATACGATTTTGCAGGATTTGACGAGAATTGGATCCAGGCACACGTCTTTGAAATCACTTGAGGAGGAAAAGGATGGTGGTGCAATGTCACACGGCGAAACTGGAGAATCTTGGGTTCGCTCGGTCCCATTCCAGGTAACTGATTCAATTTTTTTCTCTTTATCCGGCTTTTAGCTGCGTGTATATAGTTGGATTTCCAAGTCAGAAAAAACGTTTACGTTATTAGAGTTGTAATAAGCTCCTACATACATGGTCTGGTAGATGTAATATTTGGAAATTCTAGTGTCAATACTGGGGTAATTTGGTCTGAACTCATGCTTGTAGTGACTAGAGCAACTACTATGATGCAATATAGGGGAAAGATTAAACACTTGCATCATCTTAAAGAAAAATACTGCACGCCTTATGATTATGAGGAAGGATTGGGGAAAGATTAAACATATATGTCACCTTTAAGCTAAATACTGCACTGCCTGCAATGGCACTTTAAATTCACTAGCAAGGTCCCGCCCCATCAATCTTCTTGAATCCGAAAGCTTATCCTGTATGTGACAACAAGATTTTTTTAGCTTATTCCTTTTAATCTAAGGGAAATGGATTCTCTCCGATGACAATCTTTAAATCGACGGAAAAGTGCGCTACTGAATGATCTAGAGTGATCCTCTAATGAGAA